TGAAGCAAAACTTTTCAATAAACCTATTAAAATACTTCTACTTTTTTAATTTCATATTAAGAATTTGAAAAGGAATTTCTAAAAATAAAACAACAACAAAATCGCAGAGGTCAAGAAACAACAAAATGACATTAATATCCAGATTGTGTATACTACGGTTAAGTAAGATTCTACTGAGAAATCTTTGAGAGGTTTCGCAATAAGGCGAAATCTGTATCCTTATTACATTACATGTTTTAAGGTGATCAATATCATATTTTTCCTTTCAAATATTAAGTAAACGTAATTAAATAAACACTAAAAACTAAAGTTTAGATATATTTGTAACAATTTAAAACATAATTTTCAAAAATCTTGATCTTAATTGTACATACAATATTCATGTTTGTTTCGGGAATTCTATGTTGCAAGTCTTACTTAAATATTTACTAATAGATGTTAAAAACATTTCATTTTAATCATTGTCAGGTTACCATAAAATTATTTCGATTACATTAAAAAAAAGGAGATTAGAGATGAAATGAAAAATATTGCCGCCAACAGTCTCCTTTGAAACAATAAACATGTCTCATTGTTATTCAAACATTTCAAGATTGCAACAAACACGATGATAAATTGCAATATCAAAATAAATCAAGCTACAATTTATGGTTTAAACCAATAAAAACATAAACTTTCTTTATAAAAAAATTCAAAGGATTTAGGATAAAAGATCTTGTAGGACCTAAAGTACCGAGTATGTTGCTGAGATTAAATACAAATAACTTGCCATTTCATGTATTTATTTTCTTTACAGGACCTCTGTGAAAAAGTTTATATCCGTAAATCTTTCTGAAACATCAAAGATAATATGATAACAGATATGCAATAGCTGGCGAACAAAGGTCATGATCTGCTGAGGAGGAAATAGAATGATGTATAACTGTGTTATGCAATCTTGCGATAAGGAGAACAATGGGTAATATACATGTAATTTAATGTAGTATAGATAAAAGGTAATATCCACTTATTAAATTAGGCAAAAGAAACATCGCAACTTTAAGAAGAAAATGTTTCTTTCAACGGTTTTATGCAAAAGTTCAATTCTTGTCTTCAAAAACAGAGAGTGTTTCCCTCTTATCATTTATTTTTATACACATATCATCTTAAAATAGAAGAAAAAATCTGACGCTTCATAGAGATGAAACCAATGTGAAAATCTAAATTTGTAGAGGTCAGATAAAATGTCACACTGTTTCAGGCACAATGATAAAATCCTTATGATTTAATAAAGAGGTTATTACCAGAAAAATATATATCCATTCCGGTATTTGCGCAAGGTCGTCATTGTAGGCTTTCAATGTGTCAATGAATTTGAAAGCTAAGGACTTAGTATGTTTCTTATTATACGTGTATGTATATTTAATTAATTCCATTTATCTATTTATTGATGTTGCTGCTTTTCAAATGGTAGTTATTGTTAATAAAGAGAAAATAACCACAGGATATTTCTGTGACTGTCCTATCTAACATTGGCATGATCAAAAACTAAGTTCGTAGAAATTCTCTTCGAAAAACACAACAACCCCGATATCTTAATATGTAAACATGTCTTCATGTTATTATCAGGTTCAATTAATATCCGCTGATTTTAGTAAGTTTAATAAAATATTTCAAATAAAGTATGAATGTACCCTTTGTATTATGGAAATTTCTTTCAAAGTTATCTTCTTAAGATTGTTTGATATGAATTTAAAATAGAATGACGATGAAATATTACCGCCACTAATCTCCTTTTAAACACTGACTAAAATGTATTGCTGTAAAAATTTATTTACAATGCATGGGTATCAAATTAATGTATGTCAGCGTTTGCACCGCCTCCGTGTTCGACGGGTCAGAATCGATGACTTCTAATCCAGTTAACTCTCTGGCGTGGGTTCGATCCCCGGGATATGCTTTGGTAGTTTAGCGCGGAGGAAGGTAGTCTAGTACTGGTATAACTCTCCAGGAACGATGGTTAAGAAACTACCCACCTATATGACTGAAAATCTGTTGGGAATACCAATATCTAATACATTAATCTCACTCTTTAATTGAATTCCAATATATTCATTTTATTTTTTTTATTTAATCATGAAGTTTATCATTATTACCACTTTTCCGGATTTTAGGTCTAAAATATTTGAATCATTTTCTTTTTCCAAAGTAAAGCGTTTAGTAATTTGTAATTTTCTGATTAAAAAAACCCAACAAATTTGACCTTAAAATAAAGCTGATGAATTTATGTACTCTAAAAATGAAGAGCAATTATTCCATTCTAAATCTAAAATCTTTTAATGATAAATGAAGCTCATTATTCACAAGGTATATCTACTTAAATTAACAGTAAAATATACCAGGTATTAGGGTATGATTTATTTGATATTTTAACTCTTTTGAAACATATTACTTTTCCTTTGCTTTAATGTCCTCCTAACCTAACGAATTCACCAAAAGTATCTTGATGCGGTATGAGTACAGTCTGCATTTAATTCTAATACATGAGAGAAGAAATAATTAAACATTGTAAAACTTTTTCCTTCAAATAAATAGATGCCAATAACCTGAGTTTCTCAAGCACCGTAAAATCATCTTATGTTACAATCCTATGTTACACGTAAAAGCTTCCTAAAATAGACTCAAATTGTATTCGGCAATGAAAAATTTCTAGGAATAGAATCTCTTTTCTTTAATAACACATTCTGACAATCTAATTACAGTAGTAAACAGATTACTACTTAGAAACTTCAACACACTCTTTAGCTCTGTTCAATATCTCATTGCTTTTGTATGTAATACAAATGTCTCGAAAGTTTCACGTGTCCTTAGATTTACATAGTATATGGATACAATTCTTGACTCAAGTTTTTCAAAAGTGCAATGCTTTTAGTTTTAATAAAGTTTAATTACGTTTTATTCAATGACAGTAATGGCAGTATGCAGATAATTGCGGTCTACAGCAATTATCCTTGTTTTATATTCTCATAACATAGATAATAGTAACTTAGTTTCATAGTGATATATAATGTAAAAATAATGTCTAATTATTATAAAGACTGGCATAGAGGTTTGTATCATGTGGTATCGTGCAGAGAAATGCAACCTAAAGGTTGAATGTGATAGCATGTGATAAATACTATGTATTAATATATTTTTGCAAACTAGATTATTTTTTTATATTTTTTTTAAATCTTAGTTTATACTGTTATGCTATCAAATTAATATAAAAGAAAAAAAGTTACTTCTCATGCTTTACCTAAAATTGTATTACGTTACCGTTATTGTTACTGATTTCTTTTTGTTTAACACTGAGATCTCAGAATTTTTCGAGCAATAAATAAGCAAGGTTTACCACAGGCGACTGTCTAATTGTGAAGATTCTTCCATTTTTTCTTTTGTACTACCAAGTAAATCCAAATAATATATTTTGAGTAAAGGTGATTTGTCATAGAGAAATTAGAAACAGATATACCTGGAAAATACCTTTCCGGATATTTGTAAAGGAATTAACCGTAGTATATTTTCAGATAAATGAAGTTCGTTATTCATTCAAAACATTGTCTTACAAGCAAAAAAGTTTTCGGATATAAGGACATGATCGATTCTAAGACAACTAATGAACTGCTGATTCAATAACATGAGGAGAAAAAAAACTGAATGTGTCTAGTATAAATGTATCGTATTTAACCAGACTGGCAATATCGGATATTTATGAATTATAAGAACTGACATAGTTATATTTTCTATTAAGATAAAATTTAATATCAATCGAAACCTAACTTTAACATATTGGCGTCATGGTCAATTCAAAGACAACACATGAGTTGCTAAAAATTACACATAGGGAGAAGGAGAAGATTTCTCATAATTATATAAATGCCGTTTCTAAATAGTTTAGTAGTTGTAAGACTTCTTCAAATGATTTATACCCGGGCTTTGTTAATTAATGTTCATTCTCACATGATGTTTACAATGTTCTATGAAATATGTTCGTTTTTGTAAAATCAATGACAACGCCACGTTAGCGACATAATCTAATCTGAATTGTATTTTACAAAAGAAATGACAAGCTATGACATAGCTTTACAAAGTTACTATTATATATATGAAAAAATGTAAGAGTTTACGTATTTCTAAAGAACAAACTGCACTTTACTCCAAAGGGCAAACGAAAATTTAATTTAGTACATCTCTCATTAATATGTAAACTATTGGAACTTTCGAAAAAAAAACTGCCATTGCAATATCATTTTATGAAAGATGTTGTTGTGGAGAATAAAGTGTTCTGTCATAGAATCTTTGCCTTTGAATTATTTATGGCCATGCATATTATCTAAATTTTGCCATTCCTGACAAGAAAAAAATTATTTTCAATATTTCAAAGATGTAGTTTATTTTATAATTACTTTCCCCTGTTATGTGTATAAGACAAGGAAAACTGTTTACATTTATTTTTATTTTCCTTGTCCAAATGCCAATATACATGTATAACATATCTAACTTCAAGAGTAAAACGAGATACTTTGTGATGAAAACGTTAAGAGCTCTTCTTGTTTCAAGCCAGCGTTACACACTATTGCGTTTAAAAATTCATGAATGACTGACAGAAGACTTTATAAACAATGAAATGTATTGTAGAAATAACACAAATAAAACGATACTATAGAAGTTATCATTACGAAATGTTATACTTTATGTCTACAAATGTTTGTGTTTGTTTTTTATTCAAACAGATGCATCTATAATAATTATTCTGAATAAATCTTTGACATGATTTGTTATTATCTTAAAACTCATAAAAACAATTCATAAATTAATTTTAAATAAATTTCAAAGATAACATATATCATTGAACCTGAATCATTTTCTTCCTTCATTTTTGCAAACACATTGGAAAGTGTCGCTTCACTGAAAGCAGTTGTGAATTATAGAATGGAAAACCCACTTTTATTGAAAAATTATTTCAGTTGTCTTTTAAATGTTCACTAAAATACCGAAAAAAAAACGCTAATGTCATCATGATCATAAAGTTTACGTTACTACAGATGACATTTTCTTTTTTCCAGTCAGTGATTGTCGTATTTCAATATCACTTAACTCATACGACATATCATCCACCGACTTCCAAGCTAGAACTTTGTTTATACACTCATTACAACAAGCACAGTAGCAATTACAAATGCTTGGACCGAGTCTCATTGTCACAACAATGGGTAAAGATTTAATCGAAATAATAAAAGCAACAAAGAAAAATATATCAGGACAAAACAGTGCTTCGTTTTTGCACGATAAAATAGTCAAAAAGTACACGAGATTTATTGCACAGTTTAACATGCAAATAGTTGATGTAATATTTGTGTGAGAAACGTCCAAATCAGATGCTCGCTTTGACGCGTACGAATTATAGCCAAATCCTCGAACGTATAAAATACATAGTCCTCCAAGAGACAAACAGTATGGGAGAATGAATACTGTGCTGACATAAAATCCTGTCCAGATACTGACATGGTGACTTGGAGATGTAATATCTGCCGTGCAAATACCCATGTCTGTAAAACAAAAAGTTTGAACAAATATAATAATTATTCAGCATAAATAAAGTGCATTTTAAAGTTATGTTATCCGAGTCTCTAAGCGAGGGTAATATGTAACAGACAACTGTTAATACAAAACTGAATGACATGCATCTCATCTATTAGTTAATAAACAATATACTTTATACATAACGCATGGAATCTAATACGTTACCTTGAACAGGAAGATGTTTCTGAACATAGTTTTGAAAATCCGGCATCTCAATATGTGCTGTTAATGCTGTGTCACTTATATTTAATGTACTTGCAATGTCTTCAATAAATGACAAATCTGTTATATTCTGAGTGAAAAATTGACCATTCAAATGTTCCATGAACGTTTCTAAAGACTTCTTTGATGTTGCTCTGATACTGAATAAAATTCCATGTGGTAACCATTCCGCCTTGCCGACAATGATATCAAAGTGCTGGTGTATATGACGCGAAATTAATGACAGCATATCCGTTCTAGGGGAGCTGTAAGATGAGTGTCTAAGATGGCTGAATAGTTCGTGAAGATTCTGAAGTTTTAAAGCATCCGTGTGCTCCTTGTGACTTACAGGCAAAGGTAAGGATATATTTGAAGATACAAAGACATTCAGGTACCCTGAAATATATCATTGAACATTATAAATATTGAACATCTAAATGAATAATTATAATAGTCATTTCATAACGCGTGATTTTAGTTATTAATATGAATAACTAGTGCTTACAATTCATAATTTAAAAGTTTTCAATGTATCGTTATTTAGCTTCCTCCATTTGTTTTCTTTTTATATATTGTTTTTTAAGTTTTGAAAACCTAATAAATAAATGGTTTCATATTTTGAGTAGATTTTCACATAATTCATTGTCTTTGTCAGATATGTTTCTCACTTATTTGCTTTTACAGTTCTCCCGGGATCGTTTTACTTCTAAATCAATAGTATTTCTCTTAATGTTGACATAAAGAGTAAATGAGATGTGCCTGTTTTAAAGTTCTGCAAAATAACAAAATGTACCTCTAAGATAAGTATATTCTCCGAATCCATAGAACGGTCCGGTGACTGCCATCATGACAAGGAACAACATTCCTACTGCTATTATTTGTGTATTTCTATGTGAAAATGCTGCTGGGACTTCTGATGGAGACAAAATAGCTAGATATCTGTAATTGAAAGTAGTTATACCTTAATCTTAAATTTAACAGAAATAAATAAAACATGTACAGTGATATTGCAAACATAGCAACCATGCAGGGGGTCAATCAAATCTAACCAGCAACTTTTTCAAATAATGCTTTAAAGTTTCAATTTATATTTTAGTATATTTATAAAATATAATATTATTTTTGATAACTAAATAAGGTTGAATTTCTTACATGATGATTTAAAATAGAGATTTTTGTGCTTGTAAAAGATGAAACGGTTTACTTAATAAGAAGATGTGTTCAACTGTTGGCTAGTGGTAAGAGTGTCTGCCCCTCAACCCTGGACTCATGGGTTCGAGCATTTGACAACCGTACCGGTTAGTTCAAAGAAGCGAACTCGAAATAATATATTAATATAGGTTTTAAGAACTTGTTTCGCAATCGAGCTAAAATAAATATGCTTACACTTTGAAAAGAAAAGTGTTGTTTTTGTGAGGTGCAAGGGTGATAGAAATAGTGCATATATAGTTTTATCTTGTTATAGTTGTCAAAAAGTGAAACAACAAGAGTAATATTTTTGTTGCACATGTATAAGATTTCTTATAGCAACCATACCTTTCTATTACTGCTAATGTTATCATCCATGCCGTAAATGCCAGCATTGTGGTGGATGCAAAACCCCAAATTTCACATGCACCAAATCCAAGCGGCCATTCACCTTCAATTAAAGATGTAATAAGTTTAAATAATTATGTCATAATAAAAATATCAAACAAATTAAATAGCAATGTGAAAATCTATTTATAGTATTTCAGGAAAGGCAAATGTATTCCTCGGGTTAAAATAATTTCCAAGATAATCGTTTATGTGTATTTTTGAGCAGAGTATGTATTCCTTTGAATGTGGAATCAAAATGGATTTTTACTATTATATCGTACGATTTACTAAATTACCATTAGAAGTTTTAAAAGCATTTGTCTTTCCAAGTGAACAACATAATATGTTTGCAATTGCAAATTTTAATATAGTAATGAATTCTTAAAACGTTTAATTAAATGTCTTCATTTTGTATTTTATTATTATAAAAATGTCCCTATCTAAATTAATGAGATCTTGATTGATTTAGAGGAACAATGTTGCATTGCCATGAAATCAACTTGAGAAGCACTTACGAATTAGTGGCATAAATAAATACATACACACGATTCAGAGGAATCAATTTCTTTCGACAGAATAGCTGTCTGACAATGTAATCATTTGATAAAACAATAGCTTTTGTTAAGAGTTTTGTACAATGTTACAATTATGCTAATCGTTTAAGTTCGTCGTGTGTTTTACAAATATCTTGCAAAGTAGATAATTTCCCCTTGCATTGCAGACTTAAAAAGCATAGAAATAACAACATGATATAAGTTTTTGTATAAACATCTGGAAAAAATGTAATTCCACGAAAGCATTAATCACGACAAGATCACACTAAAATTGCAGACTCGGTTTTATTGTGTCCGTACATGAGGGTAAATGAAAAAGTGCAACATCCCTCACTCCCGTTAGCACCGGCTATAGAAGTACTCAATTTATCAATATATCTGAACTATATTGACAACTGGATTTATATTATGATATTTATCAAAATAGTTTGTATTAATAAAAATTGAAATGAATCGAATAGTAAATTAAATCAAAGTCTTAAAATGTAACCTTAATGGTTATCACAATGAACTGTATTAAAGAAATATATATATGTTTTAGCTTCATTGAATTGACTTTTAAAGCATACAAACTGTTACAACAGTCTATACTAATGGAGATAATAATAATACAGAAAGCAATTTTGACCAAGCCTATGACTAAATCTTGAACTGATACGAAATATAAACTGAGATTCCTAGACAACAGCCTGTACTTAAAATAGGTAAAAATGATGTACAAAAACCCCGGTCAGTCTCACTAATTTCCTTTCTCATAACTATTTGTAAACATAATGTTCCCTGTGCATCAAACCTATGCTTATACGTCTCCGGATATAAACATCTTAAATTCAATGTTATTTCGACGTAATCAAAGGTTCTTATGGACTGCGGCTGCAAATATGTCTTATTTTATATACTGAATCAATGCGAAACCCGTCCTTTTACAGCTTAGGTTTTTCCCCGAATAAATATGATTGTTTTGAATTTAGAACTGTCAATTTTAATTCCTAGAGGATTGCAAAACAAAAGTCTTAACTTGTGAAATTTGCATTTCATAGTCTGTTCTTCTGATATTTAGTCTGGCCTTAATTTATGATAGCAAAGGATTATGCATGAAAAAAAATCATTTCTATTCAGATTAGATGTTTACATTTTTGTTAAATTTCAGTTACTTTTATGTTGACTTGCTTAGTTTCTTATTCATTTGTTTCAAAAAACATTAAGCTCTAAACAGAACAATTACTCTTTCATGATAAGATGTAAATCAGACGATGCTAAATTCAAATATGTAACACATTTATTTTTTTACACTTTTAACATTCATTGTCTAGTATTGAAATGTGATATAAATGTTGTTATAACGTACGTATTAAGATAAGTTATTGTTGTTTTTTTCGTTACCAAAAGATGAAGTTTAACTCCTGTAAAGCTACTTGTAACGTTTTCTTACAGTTATTTAAATTGGAATGTCAAACGTTTCTTCATTCATACGTAAATCATACGACACAAACATGTCTTAGAGTAAATTTTATTTTGGAGTAAAACAAGAGGTCGATTGCCTGAACTCGATTACATGGAGGAAGAGGGCATTTTTTAAAAAAAAAAAACCTCATATTTAACAAATTATTTTTTTATAAGTTCACAAAAGTTCACCTAATCTCTTGGCAAAGCGATTTCGGACGAGGAGATTCAAATGCGTTTATGTAACCGAAGTAACGCATGTAGCAGTGCATTTCTCACTATGTTATTTATAATAACAAACTTTCAACTTTTGTATAGCACCAAAGATTATCATACATATTAACCATTTAAGAGTACTTATTTATTTATTCAAAAGATTAATGTTTGTGAAGGAGTTTATCTTCGTCTCTGCAAAACAATATCTATTCCTCAAAACATCTGGATGCGTTGAAAAAATACACGAGATGAAAAGGTTATGAACGATTCAACTATCAGTTTATGTACTGATAGTATATCCTACGACACTTTACGTAATGCCAGAACATTTATTCCTGAAAAGTCCTCAATAAAATAGTTGTGTTGATCGTATCGTTCATTTACAGATGGTATACTAGTAAATAAGTTTAAATTTCCCCTATATCTAAGTTGACATATTGATCAGAGTTGTTAAAACAGCATTGTCTTGATATTCTTGCTAATTTTCATGATTTGTTTCTAAAGTAAAATCTTGTGAAGTGAATAAAGAAAGAAACTTACATATCACACTAAGTCTTACAATCACCAAAAATTACCAAAAACGAGGTCATAAGATTTATTCAAACATACTTTTCTGCGAAAGTCTCGAAGTAGAATTATTGTAAATTATTATTTGAATATTGAATCGTTTTACTTTTCTTAAAATCTTAGTACATTTTTCTTCAGTTTGATTTTCTTGAAATATTTAGGCAAATCTGAAGGCATGCAACTTTAAAAGAACCAGATGTTATGTCAATATACATTTCAAATATATTATCTACATTTCTCAACACCCTATATCCTTGGCAAGCAGCAATAGCACGTTCATTTTCTAATTTCTAATCCTACAACTCAATAATTTATAAAATACTTTTCTTTTTTGATATCGATTTACATATCAGTGGCCTAAAGTTTTCATGTATTTTTCAAGAAATTGGCTTGTTAATCTAGAAAACATGTTTGAAAGTTTCTATTTTAGAATTTTCAAAACTCCCAAGATTTTTCCTGTTATATGTTAATTCAGTTGTGGTAAGGCACATTAAATGTCAATTAAAAAGAACGTATTAATTGTGTCATTCCACAAATTTTATCGGTTGCTATGTAATTGAATATAGGCAGATATCAATGGAAAGCCAATATTCAGTCTTCAACACCAAATATAGTGAGTTATTTCTGCCAAAATATAGCAGCACTGTGATGATTGTCGTTCCATTTTCTCATTACCAATAACAGGCATTCAAATATTGTTTAATATTAAGGTGTATACTTTCCTTAAAAGGGTTATCAAAGCAAAAAATAAAAATAATAAAAATAAAAAAATAAATAAATGAAAAATAACACCATTAACAATAGACAAGTAATAAGGGCAACTTGCAGGATCTTTTACTTTATTAATAACAGAACATTGATACTGCCTTACATGTTTGTCACGAAATAAGGGGGTTGCCAGAAGGGATGTGATAAATAAAATAATATAAATAAATGAAAAATAACAGCATTCACAAGAGACAAGTAATAAGGGCAACTTGCAGAATCTTTAGTTTATTAATAACAGAACATTGATACTGCCTAACATGCTTGTCACGAAATAAAAGCGTTTTTTGTCCATAATTGTAAAAACACGTCTTTATTTATATCGTGACAAGAAGCATATTTAAGTGCCTTAATTGAAAAAAGTTGTTTTTTAGTTATAGTGTCAGCGGCCTACCCATTGACTCGTCGCTAGATGAACTAAAGATAATAACTGAACAAATTTGTAAAGGACTGTTTAATTCAATTTACTTAGACACGTGTGCTTTATAATGAAGTATGTTGTTTTTTTACTCCTTTTACAACAAATATATAAAAACAAGCTTTTTATAAAATGTAACACTATATGTTGCCAGTTATACACCATTTCAAGATATAAAGACTTTCCTGCCACAACAATTAAATTATTATGATAAATAAGGATAAAATCATTTTGACTTTATATTTTCGGAGAAGACTCTTTTATTGGTTAAAGGTATATTCTATAAGTAACACATGATGTAAATAATATATTACATTTCTCTGCTTGACATTGTAAACTTTATATGTTTCTAATAACTTTGTTAATTTGAAGACGATACTGTAAAGGTCTTGATGATTTAGAAAAATAAGTACAAAAACATCTTTGAAATTTTTGTCATTAATTTTTGTTTGACAAGTTCTTTCTATTAAACGTCCAAGCATCGGAATCGACTTGATTTGATTTTATAAAAGCTAATACGTCATCTTTCTTATCATCTATATTATTTCTAACTTAAGGGGAAATATCATTTAATACGTAAATAATTTTTATGTAAAATCATTTTTAAAAATAAAACATATATGTAAAGAATTAAAAACGGAAAATCAAGCTGTTAGTGTACTCATAAACAAGCTGTCGGGAAACTAGAAGTAGGGTGAAAAAAAAGGTCAGGCAAATAATTATGTGACTAATAAACAAATTGATATAGTCTATAGTTAATTCTTCTTTTCCTGAATATGCTACAGACGCATGTTACGATCGCTATGGTGTTGCAACCATTTAAAGGTAATGTTTATAAATAAACCGTTCATTATTTAATAGAAACGGCATTGTATATTAGAAATAGAAAAAGTTAATTGTGGTGTACATCACTTGCTCCTTACTTTCTATTAAGCAACATTGATTAAAAATTGGATACACTTTTCAAATAGAATTATTTTTGTTGAAGACGCAATGCTCTTTAAACGATTTCCCGCTGATTTTTAAAATGACATTTCATACTTGGAACTGGAAGCTGTCAGAACCATACTTTTGATTTGCACGATAAAGCAATGACCTTTCACAGCAAGACAGAATAGTGTCTCTTTTGTTTAAGTGGCAATTTGTATAATTCTTATAAGGTCAAGTATCTATATGTAGATTAAATGAAATGTACTATACTGATTGTAATTGGCAATTGTTTTGTTCTTTTGTCTGACAACGCACTTACCATGACAAAAGTTTAAAAAAATACGTATCTGGAGATATAAATAATTAATTGAGAATTGATCGTTATGTTAAGATACTTTTTAATATATATTTAAATTAGGGTTAATGCAATGTTTCAATTTGACATTTCCCTTATAATGTTTGAATATGAATGAAACATTTATAGATTATTGGTATACAGCCGTAAATTTCATTTGTAAAATGGGCAGCTGAAGATAAACATCAATAAATTTGACAACTCATTGACATTTAATTAGTGAGAGAAACTCGATGTAATTTCTCAAAATGGTCTTTTCAGTGATGAAGGTTAGCTTTCTTGTATGTTTAATGTTTTTATTGCAAAGCGTATAAAAGGATCAACACATTTCATTTACACGCATTTTGCGAAAAGTGCTGACATTTTGTTAGCTGTTTTGAAATTGAAATGTTAAACGCATACGACTTTGAGCAAAAACATGGGGCAATATTTAAAATTGATGTGAAATTAAGATATTAAAAATGACTTGTAGTTTATTTTTTATACTTTGACATTAAAGTTAAACGAATAATCATTTACTTACCAGACGCCGCAGACAACAGTAAATTGAACAAGCCCATGGTATCACTCACTAAAGCAGATATGAGTAAATATTTGACGATTTGTTTGAAACTTGGATCCATGTTTTCAAGCCTCTGTAGTCTAGAAAAGATATTTATCGCTCCAATTAGGAGCAGGACAATGGTTACGACCAGTCCCAAACACTTGAGTATCCCTATAAAATCCATTTTCCTGATAGCTTAAAGCATGAGCATCACAATATTTCTAAATAATTAAACAAATAATCAAAAGTAATTAAAAATATTTTTCCCACTACATTGTTTAAATCTTGTTTGACATTTATTCATGATTAGTTTGACTAAGTATTAATACATAAACATATCACAATACACAATTATCATGTGAAAATGTTTGTATTCCTTGTTTAATATTTATTTTCACATTTCCGGGTTTTATTTTTGCTCTAAAGTAATTCTTACTGGTCAATCCTTTCCTTTTCTGCTATATTTAAGTAGTTTTCTTTATTCCGAACTAAGCAACTGAGCGATTACCAATGTTTTTCTGCTCAAAACGTAAAAGGTGTGAAATCCCGCTGTTACAATTTCCAATACAACTCTCCGATGAAGAATCACACTGCACGTCTCCGAACAAATGCATTGACTTTTATACTCATTGGAAAAATAAAAAATGTTTAACCAACAGAAACCATTAATCAATCTGCTGAAAGATTTGAAAAGAGAATAAAAAGTAAATAAACATTCTTGTTTCGTTTAAATGGTAACATTTGCGATATGTTTTTAAGAGAGAAAGCTAATTACAAAATTTACACATAAACAGAAATTGATTCCATTCATAATCAAAGTCATAGAAATTTTGCGGAAGAAATAACACAAAATTAATAAAATATATATCGCACGTTTTATTGCGTGATATAATTGGTTAACATATGGTGTCTTTAAGCTAGTCAGCTAGGCAGCAATCAAAGTCTCTCAAAAAATGCATAATTATATTTTGTCACACACTCTCTTCTCCACAAAATATACAAATGATAGAAAAAAATATGCAGAAGTGTATGAAATAATGCGCTAATTATGAATGTATGTAATTATGTATTCTAGCTTTGCTTTCTAGGATTCTCAAAATTGTAGTAGGAATTGCAAATGCGGCGAAGTTGCACAAGAAATTTTGCTATCACGTGTTGAATTGTACTAAATATAAATGTGCCTTGTGTTCATAATACTAAATGGCCTTTAATGTATCACATTAATTAACAATTTAAGCAAAAATTATGTAGAATTTAATGCAATTGTCTATGATATTGCAAATATTGAGATTTTTTACCTTATCTTTTCATTCAATACGATACAGTTGTAATATATTTTTGTTGTAGCAATAAGTATTTGCACTTTAATACAAATGTATGATTTTTACTATTATTTTTACATAAGTTTGCATCTTGATATCCGTCTGTTAAAGGTAACAATGATTTATTCCAATACATTCATAAATACGACTTGATACTATTCAAGCGGAACTGGGACACAGGAGATGGAGTTCATAAATGCAAGCTTCAATTCAGCGACATGCACATGAAGCTGATATTTAACTCTTTGATTTAAGACAAATATTGACTAATGCATTAAGTCAGTAATCAATAAACAGTATGATATAATCTGCTTTCTGCCACGCTGGCGAGGTCTTTAAAGAGCGTTGTAAATACCGTTGTTCACTTCAAAATGATAAGAAAAAATATTAAAAATCAATTAATATTAATATGTCCGTTCAATTTAATTTGATTAAATATGCAAAATATGAATATTAGTCTAGCATCAGCTTCGATAATAAATCGACATTAAGATATATATTTTTCACGTAAAGACCGTACCAGCTAGCACTCCGAACGGAAGGTCGATGGTTGTATCTGGGTACCTGAAAAATGTAGCAGTAAAGTTTTGAATTATCCTTAATTTTTGTTTCTACAATGCCAGTTGAAGTAAATATAATTATGCAAATGTAGAAGTAATATTGTCATTCAATGAACTTTAGCCATTACTCAAGAACAGATCAATACGCATTGTCTTGCAAGCTTCTCATTTAGTTACATTTTTATAGAAAAAATATTAATAATAATAACAACAACAACAACAACAAAAAACAAGTTTTCAAGTGTTTAAAGTTTTGAAAGATAAACTTATTACATCGACGTCATCAGATGAGTTAACCAATCAAATACGGCTATCAATATAGCAAAATTATGCTTGTTGAATTATTGAAATATAAATGAACAAGTTATTGTTTGGCTCTTTTTATGGTACTGTAAATTCCTATGGCGGCGATGTTTTCCTTCTGTGTATAATTAAAATATTCCACAGCGCAATGAGATGAGAGAATCGCAATATTTTCCATCTTGTTTTGAATTATTTCTTGAAGTCAGATTTAAGTAATTTCAATGATGATTTTCCTGTAAGGAAAAGTGAAATGCCCATAATTCATGATGACATTAAAAATGTTATCGCCTGTCTACACAGAGTTTGCATGACCGTTAAGTACTGAAATCGGATATTTAACTGATAAATGTGATAGAAATTCTATAAGTTCTGATCTGTCGACATCAATAGAGTAATCCATACAACAAGAATATCGTATATGACATTAGAATAGTTTTTATGTTTTCCATTTCTGAAGGTTAAAGCTATACATTCACCATCTTTGTTTCATTTTTCCTATCAAAATAGGTGAAGATAGAACACGAAAACAAATTTCAACTTTCTTCACTTTTTAAGAATATTCAATACATGTTGTTTTGTCTGTTTTGTTTTTGTTTTTATAATTTCAAAATAATATAGAAAAATGTGAAAATGACTATATCCCGCTGGTCTAGATAATAATATGAAAAATGTTGTTCAAAAATTATTTACAAATCTTTTACCTTTATTGATAGTGTATGTATCAATACGTTATAAAAAACAAATTGTTTAATAAAAGTTGTTTCCGAATTTCATTTTTGAACAAATTTGAGGAACCTAAAGACACGATTTGAAAATGTCTTCAAAGCTTTTGACTTTATAGATTTCATCTTAAGATGCTTTTAAACATTGAGATGCTTTTAAAGCCCGAAAAAGAATCATACTTTTTAATATATTTATTTTACCTTTCCTTTTTAACAATTCCAAATAGAAAACCTTTTTTGTCATATAACTGAGTTATCTTTAAGTGCATAACATTTTTTCCAATTAGTTAAACTAAATTGTGTTCGTATTTTGTATTGAAGTCAAAACACCAGTTTGTTTATAGTTTGCTACATTTATACCTCTCCAGCAGCACTATTGTATCAAGGCGATACGCATCAAATGTGCTCTTAGTACATACATACAACATTTTGAAAAAAAAAATTGAAATCTCTAGGGAAAAGCTATGTAATCACTTTTGATATGTCTTTATTAGACATAGGGCTTTCATTTGAAAACAACATCTTAAACCTATTGAGCTTGCATTCTCACAGTCATTGAGCATTTAGAAATCATTCAAGTGTTTAATAATACTATGAATTTAACATACAATGCCTGTCGATATATCTTGACAAAAGTAAAGAAATGGCCGTTATATTTACATAATTTTGAAATATATACTGTTTAAGTCGTCTTTATTAGATGGGACCTCGTAAACCAGGTCTTAACATGCCGTTTTCTGTTGTTTTTGTTTTGTGGTTTGTACATTATGTTAGTCTTCAGTGAGTACCTATGTGCCATCCAAATTTAATCTTTTTTTATATTGAAAAGTTTTTTACACAATCTAAGATCACCAATTAAAGTCATATAAACATAAAGTCAAAAGAAGTGTTAAGATGAAAATATATTCTGGCCAATATCTACAGACAGAAAATAAGATAATTCAATTCAGAAACAATTGTGGACAGGTATTGATCATAGCAGTTAGATTGATAGGTCACTTCTGTGGCAGTCAATTCTTTCCGTTATCAATTTATCATAATCACTTTGTATAATGGATACATGGTTACAGATGGCCACGTTGGCTGATAATTACCCATCACATAAAACACAATGACTTTGATAATATAACAGTAATGCATCGTTGCTATAAATATGTTGTATCGTTGTTATGAATAGGTTTGGTAAATATTCTATATAATTATATTGTATGTGTGCTTTTGTTTATGTTGACTAAATAAGCTATTTGATACGACATATATAAACTATTAGACAATAGAGGGAAAATGTGACGATATCTTTTAAATGGTGTGTCATGAAAGCAAAATATCTGAGTGACGATGTCGCGTCTGCTTGTGATGTTAGCAATGTTTAATCTAAAAAGCAGGGTTTTTACCTACACTTTCGTTTAGAGTTTTGTTTATTTAAAGTTAATTTAAAATTTACCTGCAATCAAAATTCAAAATTCTTGATAGGAACGATGTTATTCCGAAAGGAAGGACCACATCAGGGCATAGAAGAAATGCATTCAATTTATTTCTTATCAAATTTGGATTTAAGACAAAATACCACGAACCAAAAACATAATAAGACAATATAGTGCTATATGCTGTTTGAGGTAATTAGATTGACAGGTCAATTCCGTGATGAAAATACATCATGTTACAACCGATGTGTTTCGCTGTTCGCCTGTTATAACATAACTGATATGTCTTATGAAAGAATGTGTTAACACATTACATTGTTGACAGCCAATGAACCATATTTGAAAATATAATCATAGTTAATTGTAGATGATAAACTAGATGTAATACAATTTAAAATATATATTTTACACTGTATTGTAGAAGATAAGTTTGGCACTGTTATCATCATATCTTTGTTTATGTCAAATAATTATACACTATTTTTATTTAAATAGAACTGGGTAAGTGGCTATTTGAGGAAGCCATGCAGATAGCTTAAGGAATGTCAGCGGTTTCCCTCAGGTGCCCGTTCGTGTTGAGGGTGCCTGTGGACTTCCTACACCATTTAAGCTTGAAATGACCTACATGACATCGGCTGTGTCGGTGTAACGTAAGACAAAAAATGAATCGCAAATATGTTACTTACGATAAATCAATTATAACATAACATTTTATCCATCTGAAATAATGGCATTTTACTACTACAATGTACTATAATTATTCTAAATAAAATACAAGAAAGGGATTCCGTGTTTAACTCTGACTAAGCTAAAATGTTTTAAGTTATACATATTAACAAATATTCATATAGACATTTATTTTGTTGTTTATTTCGTTCAATTTTAAAGCTTTATTTCAACGAGTGTATCCTAAATACGAGTATATATATAAGGGTCATAAATCACAGGTCTTCTTTTAATAGAATTATGATCACCGTTAGTGTTAAAGTAGTATAGATGTCTTTACTGCTTATTTTCTCAGAAATATAGTTTTAACACATTCATTCATTTTTGTTGGCAAATCAGTAGTACAAATTGCATTTCGTTTATACTAATATATATTAGT